GGATATCAGCATAGCCCAGTTAAGAAACTGTACCCCGATATATTGTTTGGTTAGTTAGTTAACCAAACGATATAGGCTATCGAATAATTTGATATAGGCTATTGATCGATATTTTCATTCGGTTGTTTGTGCCAACAGGTATGGAAGTGTACCCCCAAATATTACTAACAAAAATCTTAGAACAAGATCTGAAGTACCGGTAACGCTAAACTAGCCTAACTTATTCTAGCCTATAGCATAGGCCTATAATACGTATTGATACCCCTCCAGTTCTCACCTCGATTGTTTAACCATATTTATAAGTGTCCTTCAAAAATTACAGTGCTTACACAAAAATAAATCGGTCTGAACGGTAAGTGTATGTACCAAGAGCATAAGCACAAGACTCAAAACTCAATCGTCAATTAAAATAAATACAGGCCAAGAAGAAACAAACAGACAATTTAAAGGAAGAATCAAACATAACCTAATCCTAAACCTAACCTAACCTACTCTACCACCATATGTTTGTTTACAGAAGAAGAGAAGGATAAGAAAGAGCAACGTCACTCATCAGTGTCAGCCCCCTTGGTTGGCGTTGTTCCTTATCATGCAGCTTCTAATCCTAACGAGCCACAAATACAAACTTAATACTGTAATTATTTAATGTCAATACTCAATGATTTTACTTAATTGCTAGTATATAAACAATTTTTGTTTTGTTTTTTTCATTAGGTGTATAAATATATAAGTTTTTAGGCGTACCTACAGTAGGTAGTTTTAGTAACTACCACGTGAGGACGCAACATACAGCTGTCCGTGTGAAAAGCATGCATTTTCTAAATTTAAACCGACGATAGTCATGAATTAATTATAATGGGAAAGAAAGACACAAAGGAAATTGTAGTTGCTTTAAAATGCAGAGGGTAATTCGGATGAAATCATCAGTATTCTTGGGATTAAGACTATTTCTCCTTTAAACTTACCACTGATACTTTTTGATTCAGTCAATTTTGGACTTTTGGTGTCATTTTTTATCGTCCAGTCTGGTAACGTTACACAGCTTCGGTGGATTTAAGTTTCGCATTAGTATTTTTAAAAATTACTTATTTAAAAATAAATTATTTTTCTGTGCTGCACTCTGTAGAAACATTGTGGCACTATTTAAAATCATGACTAATACAGAATGTTGTGATTATTCAAACCTACAAAACAGTTTTCGAGTAACAGCTAGTTATATTTATTTGTAAACATTGTAGTTCAAAAGTCTGACATTGGCCCACTTAAAACCCTCTGGGGCGGAGCCCTTTTGACGGATCTGCACAAAAATTCACACAAACCATCCTTGAATAATGGCTAATAATGCCTGAGAAGTTTCATTACAATCTGTCGAACGGTTTCGGAGTCCATAAGGTACAAAAATATATACTACATTCATGTATACATACATACATACATAGTTCCTCTTTTTAGATATTGATATAAAACCTAACCTGTATAGTCTAGAGAGAGAGAGAGAGAGAGATACATTGCAAAACAATAACGTAATCATATTTTCTGACTCTCAATCAGCTAATGAGGCAATAAAAAACATAGTCAAGCGATGATATTGTTAAAAAAATAAAGGATCTACCAAGTTTATGAGAGTACAAAGCCACCGAAATGCTGGGTACACTGTAGTTTCTACTCCACTGGGTGCCTGGTCACGTAGGTATAAAAAAACAACGAGATGGTTCACGGCCACCTTTAACTGTTGATGCGGCCGTTTCATAACCGTATCACATTGCAGCTTAAAAAATTAATGAATATTTTTGGGGAATTTTATTATTTTTTATTATTTGTCTATAATTTGAAGTTGAAATACTGGCAGGCTTAATGATCTGCATTATAAATTAACCCCCTAGGGCGTGGGGCAGAGCCCTAAAATGAGAACGAAAGGGTTAAGCTATTTTCCCATAAAACCCATTAAAAACAGAAAAATGGATTAAAAAACCAGATTCTGATTGAAATTTGTCTGTTGTGATCCATATAATTCTAAACAAAATAGCACAATCTCCCATTTCTGTAAAAACTACGGTATGTAACTTTTGTGATTTTCTATATATCATACTTATAGTAACGCTTATCACTTGCCCGTGAAAAAGGTTGATGACAAGCTAATGGGAGAAAGTATGTTTGTCAGATTGCTGATACCATTTATTTAAGAATGCGAAAGCTTGGTTACGTGGCTATGCCAAATATTTACACCATTTTCAATGCACAGAAATCAATTTCCAATTTATATTGTTTTGCTTTAAAACACTATATTTATGTTTTATTTTATTTATATTTATTTACCCTTTTAGCATATTTATATTTAAAACTTTAAATTTAAATTAATGACTAGTTTAGCTGTGGTAAAGATGATAATTTATTGTGATAGGGTATTTCGTTGTTCTGTCTTTTAAGGACGGAGAATTTTCCCGCCATATAAGTGGACAGGATACCGTGTTATCAGTTCCGGTAAGGCAACTGCGTATTGTGTTAGTTTTTTGATAACACCCGCGTTGTTTTGTCCTGCCTGATAAGTGATAAGCGCTATCACACCCACTCTGACACACGAGGACTACGGGGAACATGTGAAGTGATACGGAAACTCGCGAAACTGATAAGTGAAAAGTATCCCGGTCAAACCGAGCTGTGGAGCCATAGTATGTCATAAATACCCTCGACGCAGTAAACCTACAAACTAAGCTAATTTACCTGGTTGGATTTTCAATTAAATCTATTTAAATAACACGAGCTGGTGGCCCGTCCTACGTACGGGAATCGAGTTGTCAACTAAAACGGAATAATTCAGAACATCTAGTTTACACGCATAGACAAAAATTCTGGCAGTTTTAATGGGGAAGATCACCTTATAAACAAATGCAACGTGACCACCTATTTATTCCATTCGAATATAGACCTAAGATATGGCGATATGCATTTTAAATCCGATAATTTTACCATAAAACAGCATTTGTGTCTCTAAACAGCACTACAGAACTTGAGACTTTACCAATTCCTGGAAAGGTGGCCGTGGATTGTTGTAAATTTGCCAAACCGGTTCAGGCAGCTAGATTGTGAATCTTTATGGATGTATACATTCCTCTTACATATTTCAAATCCCACAGAAATAAGAAAATACCCCCGCCACAGCAAACCTGCCGACAAAACGAATTTCTATTTGTCTGAATTGAATTTTCATTAAATCTATTTAAATAACATTAGGTTAATTGATTACCTTGAAGTACCTAGGTTTGCTGCTACAAGGAAACTAGGAAAGTGTGTTTTTGGTAAAATATTAATAGCATAGTATAAAATAAATAAATTTGCCAAGTTTGATCAAAATATATCAACAAGCAAAAACTACAACATTTTACAATATCCCTTAACAGTAACATAACTGTTAAATAACTTCTTGATCAGCATCGTATGTGTTATTAAATTTACAGAAAGTAAATAAAAGATACGTCTTATAACACTTAAAAAATAAATTAACGCTTATACAGTTACTCACAAGACGGTAAATATACAAAAAAGATGGTAAGTGGTAAAAGATGGTAAAAAGATGGTCGAGCACTTACCATCTTTTATGTATATTTACCGTCTTGTGAGTAACAGTATAAGCGTAAATATATGTTTTAAGTGTTATAAGACGTATCTTTTATCGACTTTCCGTAATATCCCTTATAAAAATAACATGAGAACTTTAAATTAAATTTTTTTGTCACTAATAACCGTACAAAAACACTTTTATATACTATATTTTTTGTTTTTTAAGATCTTTAAAAATATCTAAAGAGAAATTGAGAAATTTTGTGTGTTGAGGGCCAAAAATAATAAAAAAACACTTTTTACCCCATAAAACCCCCCGTAAAACACCGTTTCCATGGTCTGATCGTGGTGGTTTGCAAACTCATTCAGGTATATCCCGCCTTACACCTTTACATCAAATGTAATCAAAATCGGACAAAAAATACTCAAGTATCGCGTTCACGGACGTTTATACAGTATTAACGCTTTCTACAAATGTTTTTCCGACTTACCCATGTGTATCTTTACAATTATGATAAATAATATAGCTTTCATGGTACCTTTTTGTAAGTGTATTTATATTTTTGATCTGATATAAATTTATCAAGTGATTAATGTATTCATATCTTGAGAGAAAGGAACAGATAGAAGTGGTTCAGAAGAGAAATAACTTTTAAAGCAAAATCAGCTTCACAACGTGATTTTTATATCAATTGCTGACATTATTGTGAGATGGAATATGTATCTTTTACCTTCGTCATTGTTTTCAGGTGCCACACATGAGTCTTTAGTTGTTCAACAATTCTTCTAGATCAGTTCTATATTTTCGCGATAATTTTACCTGGGTTACACATTTGTTAGCTTCCTGTATAATCGGTTTCTTGTTTCAAGATATACACCACGTTTTACGATCGTGCCGATTAGGACCGGGATTATGCACACATTGTTTATGTTAAGTTACTATCAGTGCAGTTAAAATTGTTTTAAGTATAGCTAATATGTTTTTGGAAACAGTTCACAGCCTTATGGTACTAAAATAAATAGTTCGCTGAACTATTTTTAAAAAGGTATAAAATAGCGGGTCCAATTAAGGCAGTTCTTTTGGACTTTCAAGCTCAGGTAAGAAACTTTGTTCTGTTTTGACAATTAATAATTTAGCTTTCTATGCAATCATACATTCCTAAAATGCATGTTTATTTGATAAATATCTAACGAAATCTTCCTGATTTTATCAAACTTGTTCCTAATTAATGAAACTGTAAAATTTAAAAAAAACTTTTTGACTAACTATTCAGATCATAGGAAATCCTAACGTCCAATTGAGATGTTTTTAAAATGTATCAATATTTACTTTAATTTATTTTTTTAATCCCCAGGATTGTATACGGACTGTAAACATTTCTTGTATGGTTCTCTTCTCAGTTAGAGTGTGTTGGTTGTTTTGGTATATAAACTTTATTAAATATGTTGAAGCAGTGTATAACATATTACATGTATCATTCAAATAAAATGTGTAATTTCTAGCCTTGTCTAGAATGGCGACATTATGGCACTTTCTGTATTTTCTGTTGATTGTGGCGCTGTCTCAGTCAGAGCTACAGCAGAACACAATGAATGAAATAGGTAAGCTAAGCTTCTTGATACAATTTCTTTTTTTCAGTATGATAATATTTTTGTTGGGCATCACTCACCTTATTGAAGTCACGAGAACGTAGTCCTTGTCATGTCACAATCATACACAGTTCATTGCACATAAAAATATACAAAAATAAAAATAAAAATAAATCCAAATTTAAAATATCAGACAAAAGTTCTCAACACCAGATGATATTTTAAATTTGGATTTATTTTTATTTTTGTATATTTTTATGTGCAATGAACTGTGTATGATTGTGACATGACAAGGACTACGTTCTCGTGACTTCAATAAGGTGAGTGATGCCCAACAAAAATATTATCATACTGAAGTATTGACCTCACCTAATATACCATGTAGTTTAGGAATACAATTTCTTTTTGTGATCCATTGCATTTTTTAAAACACACATTCTGAATTTTACATTTCAATAATTATAGTATACGTATAAGTAGTATAGTATGAACATATTATATAATTATACACTAGTATACGTAGAATTATATAAGTTCCCTTGTTTCCATTTTATTAACGTTATTTCAGTTAAGTTGTTTGTTTTAGACCAGTTTGGCGAATCACAGATGAGTTATCTAAACATAGGAAACCGAATCAATGACTACAAATATTATGAACACGAGTATAAACTGTGACCTTTAGGAGTGGTGCCGTACACTTTTGACGAAAAAGCAAACTTCAGTAAGTAATATATTTTTTTTTTCTAAATTAAGCTTAAAACTAAACACTCTACCATAAAATACAGTTTTATATGTGGACTTGCTGTTACCCGTCGGCCTCACCCGATATAATTTTGTGTTTCATTACTACCATTGAGTATTAAGAACCCGCTGGGAAACTCCAAAGCCACTGAGGTGGAGCCCGAAAGTCAGACAAGAATAAAAACAACTTCGTTTTCCGATTTAATGTCTAAAGAATCAGTATACCTAATTTGAGCACTCTAGCTAGTCTGGTAGTTGGAGAATAAATGATGATTCAATAATTGAGTGAGTGAGTGGTGTCTTTTACTTTATCTTTGGATTGCGTAGAATCAAGAATTGTTTTATTCTTTTCCTAAGGTAGTTGAGTTTTATCTCGATTCCTGTCTGCATACATCGGTGACGCCCCAACTAACAATTTACGCTGCTCGCTTTAGGAAACAAGAGCATAGATCAAGATTAAACTATTGTTCCAGTACTTACTAGATCTTTGAAAATGACTATTGAAACTTGTGATATCTTGTTTTTAAATAAAATTATGAAAACACAGGTTTGCACAATATTGCATATGTAGGTTATTTTAACACTGTTAGAACACAGTATAATTGTATAATAAGTAGCATTACTGAATATAAGATGGAATTGTATAAGAAGTACCTCTACTGTATTGTGAAAGGATCTTTCTATCGACACATCATGTTCAATGTATATTTAGTACGTTAAAATAACATTCAATGAAAATAAGCGTATATGGGATTGGTGTATATATGCCTAACATAATTTAATTTTAAACCCTAAAAAAATATATCTTTATTACCTCACTACTTTTAGCTAGCCAGTTCATAAGTTTGAAAGGGTAGATTTTATATTTAAAGCGTTTATCAGTATACACTCCCTGTATTTATCAAGGTATATCAGACAAGAAAATAATTTTGGGTGCGATGAGAATAATTGAGGATGTACTATTATCTCGCAAGATATCAGACAGATGGTGCCAAATAAAGTTTGTGCCAAAAAAAAGTTACCACAAGGACTATGTAGAGATATTCAACAAAGGTCCTGGAAAATGTTTTTCTAATATGGGATACGTAACAGGAAAACAGGTCCTCAGTCTTGGGAAAGGGTAAGTAGAACTAACATCACTGTAGCTTACTACTACACTCTACACTTATATCATGAAGAAACTTTGACGAAATGCATTCATGATACAGAAACAGACCTGGAATTCATATTTTAAAACTAGACCAGGATAAGTGTAGCATTAAATGAGGTGATATGTGATATTAGTTAGGTGCTAAGTTGAGCTGTTCATGTTTCCTAATGGACCATAAATTTAGAATGCCAATGATCAATAGCTGGGTCCAGTTTCCAACTATTAACAAGCTACTGACTTCCTAAAAGAAAAAAAAGCACTTGCCCCTAAATAGTTATGAAACTAAATAGTTCTTTCAAACCAAAATCATAATTTTAGTCAACACCTGTTTGGAACCTATTCTGGTTTATTCCATTGCATAAAATATTTGTGAACTATAATCTTAAAATCTCTTTAGTTTAGCGAACACTAACAACAGAGAGATTAAATTTGTCCTGTGAAGACGTTGAAAATTTGTGAATGGATGGTAGCCAAAAGTGATGTGACATCATGCATTTAATGTATTTATATTTCAGATGTATAGACACGGGTAACGTTATTCATGAACTATGCCATACTCTTGGAATGGTCCACGAACATCAAGCACCTTTTAGAGACAATTACGTTAAGGTGTACTGGGAAAACATTAAAAAAGGTTCGTCATAGAAATAAATAGGTCAAATATCTTTATTATCATGTTTGACATGTTGGAAGTTTACAGTTGAAAATGGCTGATAAATAAAGCGAAAGATTAACCTTGTAAAATATCAGTATGTTGCATTAAACCTAAAAAAATAATCGTTTGGCTGTTAATTTATATTACACTTATAAGTAAATATAAAAAGGTATAAGGGATTAACTTTTTACTACATGAAATTCCAGTAATTACCTAGTACTATGTAATTTCTTTTGGTTTAACTTCATATCACAAACAGTCGGTTGTTTATGTCATTTAACACACTTTGATTGTAAGATGGCGAAAAAAGAAATATGATAAAGTAGGGTTGTCAACCTATAATGAGGTTAGGAGATATTTTGCAAGATTATCGCTTCTTTGAATTCAACTTCTTAGCATGACGTAGTCATCTAAAAAACCTGGACACATACTTGATAAAAAATTATATTCTTAAGGGTTAGTACGTTTTATTTAATATTCGTAGCTCTCAATGATAACACCTAAGATATTAAAGGCATTAGGAAACCTTAGATTAAATTAATTATCTCCTCCATAATTGATAGTGATTATAAGTCAGTGATTATAATGGTTTAATAAACGAAGCTTATCAGGATCATGTAATACTATACAAAGAGATAGGGTTATCCTGATGTTATCCTGATATTAATAAACAATTATAAAGGTCATCAACCTATTATGAGAACACAAGATGTACATAAATAATACACTGTATACCAATACCGGTATATCACATATATCTAATGGTATGGTTATTTTTCTATAACTGATGAGTGATTTTTTAATGCACATGATACAGTAAACTTGGGATTTAAACTGCAGATAACCACAGATAATCTCTAAATTAATACTAAGGCTTATCATGGTGGAAAAACCTTTGGGATCGGCAATGCAAACTCTCTAACACTATCACTCAATAACGGCTGGTCATACTTTAGCCAAACTTACCAAGTTTGTTTCGACAAATGTTTAGAATGTTTAAGATGAAACAGTTTTAATTTTTGTATAATGCCTAACAGGGTGTTCTTAAAGGGGTGTCACAAACTTCAGGGACAGGTAGTACTCATCAATCTTAACAAAACAGTTCATATAGACATAGGTCGAAACAAATTAGATTGATAAAGTTTTAGATTAAATAAACCACATAGTTGTGAAAAATATTATATTTAATTACATTGGATCAGCTCTCTGAAATTGTGGAATAAGCAATTTGACAGTTCTTCTTGTTTACATCGAGATTCCAGGGCAAATTAATGTAAACATTGTTAATTTTCTCCTTGCAGCCATGGATACCAATCAATATTTACTTTTAAAATCCCCACTTCAGAAATTTTAAAGCCGAAGGGGCAAAGCCCATGGTCAGTATCGAAGTATGAATAGTCCTATGACCATCCTTGGTATGGTAGCTATACTTGTTTAAAGGTTAAACTCAGTCAGGTCAGTAGTTTTCACATTAAATAGTAATACACATACAGACAGACACCATTCGATTTTTGTATAATAGTACCTATAGATGAAGATTAAACATCAATAAACTTAGTAGTGGCTCTAAGGCCATTTTCAAAGTGTGACCATTTTTGTGACTTTGAAAATGGCCTTAGAGTCGAAACTATAGTCAGCTAATATTTTAATAAATAATTTTTACTTGGGTACTAAGTTTATTGGTGTTTAATCTTGATTTATATATAGCAGCCTTATTATTCTATTTTACATATTCAAATAGATTATGTAGTCCCATAGTCCCATAGTCCGATCATGCTGGTTCGCAAAAGAATAAACGTAGGTTTACACATAAAAACCAAATTCCATCAAAATCGGATCATTTTTGCTCGAGTTATCACGCTAACGGACACACACATATACACACCCACATATATATATATACATACATATATATATATATATTTATATATTTATTTACATATTATATATTTATATATTTATATATTTATATATATATATTAATATATATATATGTATGTATATATATGTGTGTGTGTATATGTGTGTGTCCGTTAGCGTGATAACTCGAGCAAAAATGATCCGATTTTGATGGAATTTGGTTCTTATGTGTAAACCTACGTTTATTCTTTTGCGAACCAGCATGATCGGACTATGGGAACGGGGGCTTATAGGGGTTTTATGGGGTAAAAATTACTTTTTATCACTCCTTAACGAAAGTAACTATTTTCGATAACAGCTGACATCAATGAAAGTTGTTTAGTTTGTTTAGTACTATCAGCCCCTGAAGTTTGTTAAAATTAACTCAATGTTTTAAATATTTAACTTTTAAAAATTATAGTTGTTATTTGGTCTAGTTATGTCTAAATACGTAATGTAATTATCTAACAACTATTTTTAAATATCTGTTAAGACATGCTTTTGCTATTGACTGCCATACAAACAAGTCGAGCGCACGAATTTTCAGTACTGACCTATTTGTTGACCTGCCGATTACTAGTAGTTTTGAAAGTATTTATTTAACTTCTTAATTATCTTACAGAGACCTTAAAAGACTACACTATTAATCATGGCTACAGGGACTTTGGACTTGAATATGATTACAAAAGTATCATGCACTACGATAGCCATGCATTGGGAGAAATGCCCAGTGGAAAATGGGCATTCATGACTACCATGACTGCACGTGTAAGTATGGTTATTGAAAACAGAGCGAAATAGTTGGTTCTGTTTTTGGACCACAAACCATAAACCATACTTCTCTCTAACTGGGAATTTTTAATCTATACTTAACTAATTTCTTTGCTGGTATTTTTAAAATTTACAAAATCATTAAGATTGTTTACGGCATTTTTCAATTTAATATTTTAAAACAACTAATTATTTTTCCGGCGCATACTCTGCTTTAAACTTATTTACTTTTGCCGCACTCCAGTTAGTAATCCAACCAAACAACACAAAACAGCGTCACGTAATACGTGTAAACTTGAAAATATATTTTGGAAACTTTTAACGATACTACGACTACGATCAGCTGGTGCAGCGTTTACCATTTCGTTCAATGTTTGGATTTAGCCTGACCTAAAAACGTGGTATACAGTGTTTGAAAGACACCCCACATTTTTCGTTTTAAATCTTACAAGTATTTAGTCTTTACATATTTATAAATTATTTTCTAATTTTTAGTTTGTTTATAAACGAGGTATTTTAAACAGTTTTTTTTATTTAAAAATTATTTTCTGCTATTTAGTATTTATCGTGTAATGTAATATATTTTATATGGCTTGTTAATATACAACCAAAACTTTTTTAACTGTCATCACATATTGTTGCTATTCTCATAATCATAAAACTTTAGAATCTTTCGGGAGCAAAACAGGTACCTCTTAACCTCTGCTCTTTGAACCAACTGTCAAATTAGTATTTACAGCTGACTTCAATTGATATATTTACATTTTTGCGAAATGTAAACATGGAAAATTTTTAAGTCCAAGGGAAATATAAAAATAAAATGATATAATATTTCATTATCATTCATTTATGAGCTATTTTTTTAAAGTTTCAAGTCTCAAGCTCATCAGAAAGTTAGTTTAAAATCGATTGCAAAATTTTTACCAGACAAGAAAGCGAGCTGATGAATCAAGCCCATGGGGCGTAGCCCAAGGGAAATATGAAATAAAATTATATAATATTGCATTGTCATCCATTTGTGACCTACATTTTAAGTTTCAAGTCTCTAGCTCATTGGAAAGTTATTTTAAAATTGATTGCAAAATTTGTACCGGACAAGAAAGCGAATTATAGTAATAAAAACGGGATAATAAAGTATAATTCATCACACGGGCAAAAGGTGTCTTTCAACCCTTGCTCATTTTCTGACCTTGGCTTCGCCTCGATCGTAAAACTTGAAAATATTTACTTAAGGCTCTAGTGATAAAATATACTATTTTGCTCTAAAAAAGGTGTCTGAAAATATATAAGTTTGATTAGGCACCCTTCAATTTTTTAAAAACATGAACTATTGTCCTATTGAGCAATTAAGAAAGCTAAAACCTACCAGAAGGTGTTCACTATACATTATTGGTAGTTGTGAGACAATTGCAATGTATTATTTGTGGGTAGAGTAAACCCACAAATAACAGAAAACCTTTATCATTTATAATCATAATCATTTTTTATGTATCATTTATATGTGATTATTTGTGATTTACTCGAGGAAATATTCTCTTGTAAGCGTTTTTCTTGATTACAGCAAATGTGTCACTTTGCGCACTCCTTACGCCAATACTAATAGTTTTAATTGATTATTTGATTTCTGTTGTTTTTCAGGACCCTTCCATTACACTTGTCAGAAACGAGAAGCTGAGCTACCGAGACAAAATCAAACTGGAACTAATGTATTGTCCAACACACACGAAAGTAATCTATCCTGGATACATCCTTAGATACGACGGCGTAAAGCTTAGAAAACCGACGGAAACTAATATGATTTATGCACATTAGGTGTGTATTGCGATAACATGAGAAAATAATAATACCCCCGCCGCAGCAAACCTGCAGACTAAGCGAATTTCCATTTCCCTGAATGGATTTACACTAAAATGTCTCCTTAAAATTATCACATTTATTCCCTATTTAAATAGAATCAGTTTAAAACATACTTAGGTTTGCTGCAACAGGGAGGGTAAAAGTGTTTTTTATGTAAAATGTTAATAGTTAGTAAGAAATAAAAACATTTTCCAAATTTGGGCAAAATATGTTTATAAACAAGCAAACTACAACAGTTTACTTATTCTCCATAAGAATAACATGGGAATTTTAAATTTGCAATTTTTTGGAATTTTCTCCGTAACCATTAGGCGCATTATAACGCTTCAATATACTAAATTATTTGTTTTTTTAAGCTCTACAAAATAGTTTCAAAAGAAATTGCAAAATTTTATGTTTTTTGGGTCAAAAATGGGAAAAACCCATTTTTTCCCCATAAAAGCCCCCATAAACCCCCGTTCCCATGGTCCGACCATGCTGGTTCGCGAACTCGTTCGAATAAACGTAGGTTTACACGTTTGTACCAAATTTCATCAAAATCGGATCATTTTTGCTCGAGTTATCGCGCTAACGGACACATATATATATATATATAAATATATATATATAAATATATATATATATATATATATATATATATATATATATATATATATATATACGGCCGCGCCCGGGAAGCCAGTCACATAAAATATACACTGGAAGTCAGTCAGTTGCACCCCCCAATATATTTCAAGACTATGATATTAAGGAACGCGGCAGCGTTCCGCCCCGCCAAGTCCCCCAGCGGTACACAGCTGCTGCAGTGTATATATACATGACGTGACAAAGTGGCTTTTTTACTCGTCTATAGCTCTGAAGAAACAAAAGCTATTAAAATAATTGTTCATCCACTGGATAGGGGCAATCATTCTTGGCAAAATAAAAAAAAAAGAATTTAAAAAAAGGTTGTGTTTGAGCCAAGAAAAACTAGTTTGAAAATTCACAAATTTTCCGTGTTCTCCTTCTTCTCCTTAAATGTTGACGGACCTACAGCCCTAACCACTGGCTCAATTTTAATGTTTTTTATGTTGTTTGAAAGCCCTTAGCGTGTAGATGTGCCTTTTGAGGGTCACAAGTCGGTGCGTTGACCCATAAACCCTTGGCAAGCCCTCAAAGTACGATTTTGGCCCATTTAAATAACATGGGATTAAAATCAAAACAAAAGAAGGATCAGCTGCGATTAAATCTCAATTAATTTAAAATGTTAGAGAAATTCATAGGATCAGCTGAAAAATTATTTTAAAACTTTTATAAAGTATTTTTTTCAGGTATACCGAATGATTTGAGCTACTTACTATATAAAATTACTTAGAGCAGTGATATTCCCCGATACTTTCCATTGAAAAATGCAGTGTACCGATGGTACACTGGTACAGCAGCTCGTCATTTTTAACAGTTTAATACTACTTATCAAAACATATGAAACCTAGGAACTTGAAACTTAGTACTAGTACTAAGGTTAGTTTTAACATTGTTTCTTCATAATATTGCCAAAATTTATTTAAATAAATAAGGTTAGTTTTATGTTTTGATACACTAAAACAAATAAAACAATCGGGAAAATCCGTCTACGTATGTTAAACAAGCAAAAAAGTGAATGTAAAAAGTGATATGTAAATTTAGGATAAAAATGAGTTTTTCAATATTTGTTTTGCCTTATGCTATTTCTAACAAACCTAATCTGTTTGATTACATTTTTACTTCTCTAATAAGGGCTCAATTTACACTAGTCTTTAGATATACGGGTTTAATTATCGGAACACTTATGTAACACCAATGCATTTTATGTGTAGTTGTGCCCTGGTCTATATATAAGAGAAAAGAGGATTTTTATTTTAACTGTTAATTTTCTACAAAAATAAATACAATCTAACAAAAAACCACTAAGTGGTAACACTTCCCCCGCCAAGTCAGCTACCCAAAAAAGACAATAAATCACCACTTTTCCGCCAAGTAAAACAATGTAATGTATGTAAGTTTGGCCACTTGGCGGCAGACTTTTGCTTGATTCCTTTAAAAAATACCATAAAATTAGTTTCATTGAGCAAGTATCTCTCCCAATAGTACATTGCTAGATGAGAGCTTATTTTACAAAATTTGACCTTATTTGTGTCACATTTCATAAAATCATAATAGTGATGGTTTTATATTTACTGATTACCTCGAAATTATTATACTTAGTTGGACTAATTAATTAGAGAAGTTGATTTGTGAAATTATCCACTAACGTAACTTTAATGAAAAAAAAACAAGCAAAAGTCTGCCGCCAAGTTGCCAAACTTACATACATTACATTGTTTTACTTGGCGGAAAAGTGGTGATTTATTGTCTTTTTTGGGTAGCTGACTTGGCGGGGGAAGTGTTACCACTTAGTGGTTTTTTGTTAGATATATATAATATATGTTGGTAAATATCTTAAGCCTAGACATATCTGAACGTATATATCTCTTTTTTTCTTAAAAATACTAAAATATAATTACGTAAAAAATGCTATGCTAATGCAGTCACCACCGCATTTGCATGGGAAAGCCAGTCACGTAAAATTTGTGCTGCTAAGCCAGTCACTATATATTTTACCGCATACCACTGGAATCCAGTCACTGAAAATCCACCCGGGTATCCCGTCACTTCAGTCACTTTCACCCCTGCCCTTCTACTTTGTGATATTTATTTGTTCTACAAGCTTGAAAATCCGCACCTCAAACAAATGGATTATGCTTCAGGCATTGAGCACTCTCATAACCCATCTTTCGCACTTCATTTTAATTAGTTGTCTTCCAGATTACTTAACAATTACTATTCTACAGATTAAATACCTAAATGTCAATGTAATCTTTGGTCGTCTTAATAGTCGTCCTGGCAACTGTGGAAACAAATATGTACCGTACTAATTCGCAAGCGTAAGTTGGGAAGTTATTGCTTTATAGTCGCACAATTAGGCCTATTGTTGAGTCCTTGGAGGCAAGCGGCCATCTTGGATGATTTCAAAAAGCTGCAAAATTTATCGTCCAAAAATATTTTTCAAACACCAAAGTGTTTATAATTTAAATAGCCAGTATACTGTGGGATTAGAAATGTTCTTTGTAGTTTTGAATTATTCTCCAAGGGAGTCCATAAAATAAGTTAACGGTCACGGTCATCTTGGAAAAAGGCCAACTAATACGAAAACAATAATCCTGTGTTGCGCGGGCCGTAGCACACAAATAGTTTTCCCGCCTCAAACAATCAAAGGCGTGTGGAACAAGGCAAAATTCTTGTCTCTTTTGTGGCGAGAGGTAGGGGCGAGCCTAACGGGTTCCATTGATGGGCTACCCGGCTACCGACCGACCTGGGGTAGCGACTAGCGAGCCAGTGGATGGTTAAAGGTTCTGCCGGTTATTTCCATCTTATTGCTGGTTCTCGAGCTTTTTGAGCTCGTTGTACAGTGAAATATTACTTCCCTATTTTATATAGCCACAATCAAAGCGATTTTTACAAGAAAGAATGAAGATATAGACTCAGTGATGTGTGGTTACTTAATTAAATCATGTTCCTTGATTGTTTACCCTTTTGTAAGAGCCAATAATCAATCAACTTATATTTCTTTATTTTTCGATTTATTATCTATATCAATTCAAGAGGTAGCCCTGTACCTGGTTAACAAATATACCGATTACATTTAACGTGTTTTCTTTGAGTTATGCTTCATGGGATTCCAAAGTTTCACAATGTTTACATTTTTGAAGAATGTAGATAACAGAATGTTTAACGAAGTCAGCTGTCATGCTGTCAATAAAGTTCTTTGATTTTGCGGTCCAAAAGGTAGAAACGATTCGATTTGTGAAACTTTTAACTTTTGCTACGAGCCTGTTAATTGGAGATCCTGACATTCTTAATTTAAGGAAGTAAACGTATTAACATGACGTGTTTGGAGTGGGATTTGAAATATGTGACGTGTATCAAACTTTTTCTCTTCAAAATCCTCTCCGATGTAAAACACAGGTACGGCAGCTAGGTTTATTAGAATTCAAAAGTTTTTTAATTGTCCTCCAATGTTTAGAAATTATTTTTCGATCAAGTTGTTTAATGAATAAATAATTGTTTTGCCAAATTATGTTTCGAAAACAGGAACTAAAAATAGATCAGGAAATAGATATTTTAGTTCAGAAAACAAAGCCAATCAAATAGGCCTACGTACTTTTTAAATAAAAACACTGGTCAGATGGCTTTTAACTTTGCTGTTTATTTACTTCAATAAATTTCTAATAAAAATCACCACAGGTACTAATCTAATAAAATAAAATTAGAGTTTTGTCTGTACATTGCTCAGAATCATCAACGTTAAGATTATTTTTACGTTTTAAACATTCAAGAATCCGAAAAAAGTTTCATCTCAATTCCGTTATTATCTCAATCATCAATTATTATCTCAATTCCGTTGTTGTCTATCTTCCGTCTGTCACGGTCCAAAGGCCATTTTACGCGGCCTTCTCCTGAAAACGAGAGTACCTATCAAGATCCTCGAATCATTTTAATGTATTCACTGGATTGGCGAAAGTGTCTTTAGCTATTAAAATATGGCCTCGCTACTTTGTAAAAAAAACTTACGGACGTTTAAAACCCAATTTTGTGCGATTTTTGTCAAGTTTTCTCACAATGTTTATCACATAATCATCATATGAAATAGCGAACAGCTGTTCGGATCAAGATTATTTTTCTCTAGCTGTCACTGATATGTTTACATTGAATATTGTTTACAAATACCGCAATCATTTCAGATCAAGTTTCAAAAGCAAATCCTAACCACCAAGTTGGATTAAAACCGTTTTTCCTTACATAACGGATTTAATTAATCGCAAGTGCAATAATGTGTAGGGTAACCGTAAATGAAAATAGAGCTTCTTTGTGTATAGAATTTCTATCGAGTTTTGGGTTTATAACCGGGGAAAAGACTTTGACTCAGTGTTCTATATGCCTGGGAAACTTACATTTTTTACATAAGCGTTACCAATAGCTTACATATAAGGTTTCAACTCGTTGACGGCACTTCAATGGTGGTTGTGTAAAGTGTTTAGAGACAACTGCAGTGGGTGATTGTAACAGAGG